CCTCCCATTCTACTTTTAAATACTCTAGGAACAACAAGTAGGCCTGCAGAGCGAGCTTCTTGCTTCCACTGAGACACGTCTTACATTTTTCATGAGGCTTTAGCAAACTGTAGATAGATCAACTGAAAGGCCAGATTTTCTTTCAGATACTGTTCATCCTCTTGTGCCACTTGTTCTTTGTACTCCACTTATTCAGTTTCCCCAAATTATTTTAAGGACACACTTTATACTGCGCTCAGATCTGCCAAGTTTTTGGCTAATAGCTCTTTTTGAATCATATTGTTGGTGCAAAGATAATATTTTGTGCTTTTTCATAACTTCAGTGACAAAGAGCCTAACGATTCAATTTAAAATTGGTTGTTTGTCTGATCAGGTACAAAATCTGGTGTGATACACAAGCCAGAAACACTTGTTTTTTAGACACAAAGCCTAAAGGACTGATTAAAAATTAGTAAAAAATAATAATACTTTTGCACAGCGCCGTATATGAGCTCCAGTTTAGAAAGTCCTGCATTATACTAATGTACCCAGCTTTCAAACAAAAGAAAGAGAACGAGTAAGACTGACGATAACAACAGAATCCCACCCAAAAGGCATCATCTACAAACCAAGAGCAGCTCACGATGAAACTCCGAGCAGCAAAGAGGCACCCTGTGAGTGCGGCATCGACAAAAAAGCATGTGGACGCAACGTGTTTTTACTGTGTCCATGTGCACGTGCAGGCGTGTATATATGTTTGGACTGAGCGCTCAAGCGCACTCTTCTGTGTAATCCTCATCCTGTGAGATGAAGGGTCAGCAGCTCATGGGAAGGTCAGCCAGGAGCATGATGACATCATCCAGCTGAGACCACCCGTGACATCATAGGCTGCGAGCCTTTGGTGGATTCTCATTGCCAGCAGGACCAAATACTAAGCCATCAAACTCAAAGTACACAACTGCTGGTTATATTTACATTCACCTTCAGATTTAATCAATCAATTAACCAGAGGCCAAAGGAGGAGTTTGTTATTTTCTGTCTTGTTTCCTGTTTTCATGTGCGTGTAATGTGTGGGTGCCGTTTGACTCTTGGCTGCCTCTCAGATAAAATGACATTAAGGCCAAAGGCGGAGCAATAACATCCTCACGTGTCAATCAAAATATCATCACCTCCTGTGCTGTATCGTGTACGCGTCTGGTTTTCTGTGTGTTTTTCATCATGAATATGGTGAAAAGAATAATGCCTCACTACAAGCTTGTGTTTGTGGATGGCTCAGAGAAAGGAGTACACACTGGAACATCATGTCTAATTGTTTACTTAAACTGCAGTAATATGCATATGATAACATGTATTGTTGAATGTGCTGTGTAGGCTCTGGGAGCTCTCGTTGTCCAGCTAAATGTGTTTCTTTCTAAATGTGCTCATTTTGTAAAACAAGTCCACATGATGCGTTTTTATTACTTACGTCACATTAGGATTTATCATCGTAGGAGGGGCTGGGTCGAGTTAAAAAACGTTTGGATATGCAAAAGGTGATGACAAGAGCCGCTAAAAGATGGCAGTGAAGGCTTAATCCAAGTGAACCGAATCGAATTGGAAAACTGAAAATAAGCAGAAACGATCTGAACTGAATGAAAATAAAGCGCCAAATCCCTAAATATGAGAAGAAGGAGTGTGGAATTGTGAAAATGGATTGGAAAGTTTCAGAAAATGGATTAGATTAGTTTAAGCGGTTTCTTGTTTCTTGCTTATTTGAACTGGTTGAACTGGTGTTTCGATTCTGCCTGAACTCCAAGCACAAAACTGCTCGTCATTCACGCTCACCAAAACTGCTCCCATGCATACGTGTGCTTCTTGCAAACATCCTACATATGCATTCATCTGTTTCTACTTAGCTTTGCAGATTTTGCCTGTGTGATTCTTTCTGGTTGCCTGTTTTTCCACACACTGCCTCTTCTGTCATTTCACACTCAGCCGCTCCGGCCTGTCCCGTTTCCCACCGCCAGTCACCTGACCCTCAGTGCCTCTCTGCTCACTTAAACATATTGCCCTAATCAACTCCCTCTGTATTTATAACCCTAGTTCACTGTGCCTTAGCTGCCAGATTGCCATTGGCTACCTGTACACCCCAAACAGAATAAAAATGCCTCAAATAAACATCCCAATCAGAATAAGCAAGCCCGAGAGGGCTGGAATAAACCCTTTTGTAAACTGATTACAAGACAAATTGATTACTGATTGCTTTCTGGCTGTGTTTCTTCAGCGCATGCCCTCCGTCTTGATGTAGGTGCTTGGAGATGTGCATGTTTCTTTTTTTTCCAATTACGGCAGCTTCCTATCTGAACTGTCACACTGTCACGCTGCTCCGATTTGGACATGGGC